TTGCAAACATTCATAAAGATTATTTTGAATGATCGTGTTTAATGTGTCCCTGAGACAAGTGTAACTGTTGTTCGGCAGAAAAAGGCTGTTCAGTCGGGAGAAAAAGAGATATGATCATGGGTCCCGCGGGGCCAGGAACCAAGAATAACTGTCATGGCGAAGGCCAGCAGCAATTTATCCGAAACCGAAAAATTGCGAGAGGCAGTCCCAAGACTTGGAATTGTGCGCCAGAATAATACGGTCATGGGTCCCGCGGGGCCAGGAACCAAGAATGACTGAGTTGGCGAAGGCCAGCAGCAATTTACCCGACAGACCCAACCGATCGAAAAGTTCCATATTTGTCTCATGACTCAAGAGTGGTGAGACAGAAAAATAGTCATGGGTCCCATAACCAAGAATGAATGTCTTGGCGGAAGCCAGCATTAATTTACTTGACCGGCCGAAATTTGAGAGCTCTTAGATTCGTAGGACAGAAAAATATGGCCATGGCTTATGGAAGAGAGCTGAACAGGAGCACTTTCACCGGTACTTAAATGTGCTATCAATCAGAATCAGAAGACTAACATTACATTTACAGCGGCCTCCGTAGTCTAGGGGTAACGTTCTCACCTCATTACTCAAGGTACGCGGGTTCAAACACGGCGGAGGGCGGAAAATTTCACGGAACAAGTCCTCCGGGAGGGACTTCAGGCCGTGGGTCCCGTGTCGTAGATTTACGGCACATAAAAGATCCTCCCGCCCAAGTAGTTTCCAATGCCTCCGGTATATGGGGAAGCATCGGGTACCAGTGCTAGAAGAGGCCCGACCTCGCTGGCAGAGTGGGGCTGATAGCGAGCACCAGTACTGGTAGGATATGGCGACAGTAGAAATTAAAGGGGTGCGTACAATAGACTACTAGTCGCGGTGCATGGGGAAACCCACCCCCTCCAAAAATAATAATAAAAATAACATTACACTTAAATAAACACCTTGGAATTTCCGTTCCTCCTTTACGACAGTAAATTCACACACAGACAAGGCAACAAAAGTAGACGACGAGCTTCAGAGTTCAAGTTTGCCACGATGAACGGCAACGTACAATTTTCTGAATCACAAAAGAAATTCAGAACTCTCAAGACGCACAAAGTGGGAACTTTAAAAGATAACTCATTTGACACAGTAACATACGTACCCCGGAAGTAAAGATGCAGGTTTCCTGAACAAATCTTGAAACAGCATTCGGCAGGAAGGTGACTTGGACTTCCACATACAAATAAATATTACTGCACGAGGCATACAATGAGGTCGGAACAGATGTACTTAAAGATCACTATATTCTGGGATCTGATGCTGTACTGTCTGATAGCTCAGCGTTTCGGAGGAAACTACTGCCTCCATCTTCAAGCAGCAAGATTCATTCCGAAACACTGGCAAGGACGCATCACACTATAAGACACATTAAACAACAGTGGTCTTCCCAATCATCGCCATTAGAACCTCAAATGCACCACAGGTACCCTTCAATTGCTCAACTTGGCGAGGGAAGGGATGAGGCTGATTCATTCCTTGGTTATTTCATATCGCTGTTTCTACTGCACAGCTAGCGTAGCGTCAGATTTCATGTCAAACTGATTAAGAATGGTGAGCACATTTAAAGAAGGCGGTTGTGGCCTATTTGACAGCACTATTTCCGCATTCGACTAGACAGACCAAGTAAAATCTTGGAAACTAAAGAACAGCCAGTCACTTGACCTAGTTTCGAACCAAGTATATTCCTGCGTTAAAAGAAAGTAAGGGTATCCCTGTAACAGGCCGTTAAGGCCCATACGGTTGTGAGACGTTGAGAGTCCCACATTATCTACACAATCGGCTCAAAGATGGCGGTAAGGTTGTCAGCCTTACGCGCCGGCAGCGCTTTACTCCCCTGGTGCTCACTTCTGTTAGAGGCTGAGTCGGCCCCAGGACCACAGTGCGGCCGGAAGGATTAGGTAAACTGAAAACATCCACCTCATCGGGACTTGAACCCGCTACCTTCCGGCTTGTAGCGTAGTGCCTCCACATTCCTGCGTTGTCGCTACATAAAGCTGCTTGCTGCTCCAGAACGAGTTAATTTATGGGTTATTTAAATGAGCTATATCAACTGCAGAGGCTGTTTAATTTGAGATATTAGAGAGCAGGGAAAGCGCTGTTGGTATAGCGACTAGCTACGGGCTGGACGACAGGGGGGTCGGAGTTCGAGTCCCGGTAGGGTCAAGAATTTTCTCTTCTCAGCGTCGTCCAGACCGGCTCTGGGGCCCACCCAGCCTCCTATCCAATGGGAACAGGGGCTGCGTGAAGCTGATCACTCACCTCCAACTAGTGCCGAGGTCAGGACATCCACTCCTCATACGTCTTCATGGCTTGGTGCTTAACTAGTTAAACACAGGGACAATTTTACCTTTTTACCCTATATATTTGGAAGAATATGAGTTCTGTAATGTGAGAGACTAGCCCTGAGGGACTGAGAAAGGCTACGAAAAATCTTAACACGTCAATGCCGCAAGAGATTTCTGTACAATATAAAGCAGACACGTGACGGTCGTGCCTAATGTCCGGGAAAAAGTCATTACCTCCTTCTGCTTGCATTACGGATGGCAAAAGTAACACTGCCGATAAGGAAAACAGAGAACGGGAGTGGAAACTAGGAGAGACAAAACGAAAAGAAAGGCGAGGACGGAAGGGAAGAAAGGAATTTAAACGGGTAATGGAGGCCAGAGTTACGACATCTGTGAGACGTCAGCGTCCGAGGAAAGAAAAGTATTTCAGGAACAATGTACAACCAGTCGTGACGACAGAAAGACCAAATTATAGCTCTTGCACGTGAGACTGAATGACAAAAGAAGTCTTTCCGCATGACCTCCGTCTGTATTGATTATGCACCGCAGCTGCCTGCTTGGCAACTCTTGGGTATTTGGAGCCTACGCCGATTCACGCTTCCTAGACTGTTTACAGTGGGTGGGTGCACGCGTACTGATGAGTGCAAGTGTACCAACGACCGGGAACTTAATGGCATAAACACTGCAACACAATACGCATGCAAAACGTACTCGCATTTCAAGTTCGAAGACCACAGAGCGTTAACGTTCGGAATTGAACGACGCTTGACGCTAATAATGCTACACTATTTAATGGTTCAATTTACTGTATATAACCTAAGCTTGGTCTATTACTCTACATTGAGAACAAAGTGCCGAGAGCACATCTGCATCTAGGAGAGACGAACAAAACTGCACAATGAGGAGCTTCATAATTTTTACCCTTCACCAAATATTCCTGAGGTGATCTATTCAACGAGGCTGGCATAGATGGTACTATTATACCCAAGATAAGAGGCCTCGAATAGTCTGGGGAGCCTGAATAGCTCAGGTTTCATGGCGACGAGCTACACGGCCAGGTTTCGACACCCGGCAGGGGGCAAGAGACTTATATCCAGACCGGCCCTGTGGCCCACCCAGCTTTCTATCCAATATATACCAGGGGCTCTTTATCTGGGGGTAAAGCGGCCAGGGCGTGAAACTAACGGATCACCTCCATCTAGTGCCGAGGTCAAGAATGGTGGAGCTATTCCTCCACTCCCTGATACGTCTTCATGGAGTAGTGCTTAATTAATTAAGCACATGGACAACTTTGCCCTTTTATCTTTTACCTCAAATAGCACGCTTCCGCGCGTGCATTGTTCGCGGCCCTGCTTCGATCCAATAGATATTCCACTTCTTGGAACACGCTGTAGCGCATAACTTGTTACACGACAAGCAGCTTCTCTTATGCTTGCTTGCAAATGATTCGGGTTTCGAATTCTGTCCACATAAACGCAGCCCCGAAACAAAAATCAGGTGGTGTCAAATCAAAGCTCCTATGTGGCCGCAGAACTGAACCAGTCCTGCCAATTCATTCACAGTAATTTGTTTTTAATTCCTTGGGGTGGGATGAGACTGGGTCCTCTTGGTACGTGGGCCACTAATTGGCCTACTGTACCTGCCCCGGATGATACATGAGTAAGAAGCATTTGGTGGAATGAGAATTGGAAGGGGAAACCTTAGTACTCGCAGAAAACCTGCCCCAGAGCCACTTTGTCCACCACTAATCCCACATGACCTTACCTGGGGTCAAACCCGGGCCACCGCGATAGGAAGCCAGCGACTAACCGCCTGAGCTATGGCACGGCCCATCTCACAGTAAATGTTGAGATAAGAACCTCTGTTAACATGTACTGAAGAAATGCGGCTGTGTGGCCGTCTTGCTGGTGGCCGCTCGTGAAACTGTCTTCGGTGGAAGAATGCAAAGGCACAAGATTCAGTGTGATGCCTCCCGAAACCCTACCCTAGCTTGCTGATCTGATCTCCTCTGGTCTAATCAACCTAACAATTGCAGGTAAAGGATAAAGTTACCCCTGTGTCTAAACACCACTAACAGGATCCACTCATAGTCCAGCCAACGGGAGGCTTACCCACTGTACAGGAGTCTGGATGGCACCCGAGCAGGTGGCGAAGAAAATAAATTCCTGCTCTTACAGATTCGAACTACAGCCGTCCGATAGATAATGACCAACCTACTGACAGGGGCCGCGCCATAGCTCAAGCGGTTAGTCGCTGGCTTCCCACCGCGGCGGCCCGGAATCGATCCCCGGGTCTGGTCAAGTGGGATTTGTGGTGGGCAAAGTGGCGCTGGGGCAGGTTTTCTCCGAGTACTTCGGTTTCCCCTGCCAATCTTCATTCCACCACTTGCTCCACAATCACCCTCACCTATCATCTGGGGCTGGTACAATAGGCCAGAAATGGCCGCAGTACAAGGGCCTTAGTCCCACCCCACTAGCAATAAAAAAACCTACTGACAGCATAAATTATGCAAATTTCTCCAAACACGCCAGAAGTAGACATTCATACAGTACGTACTTCCAGCTTGTGGAGTTTTTAAATTCGCGTCACTTGATGATCACGCTAAAAAAATGTTAAAATAATGTGTTAACACATAGCTCGACTTACCGACGCCAGAACAGTTGGGGTCAGCACATTTTCTGCCTCCACAATAACACTTTCGAAGCGCATTTCATCCCGGAAGTTACGTTCCACCCACGCTGCATCGCGTCGGACGTGAGAGTCAACGGGCATAAACAGCTGAACATTGTCGACTTCCTCTTTCCAGAAGAGGAGACCCAGCGAACTGGCGAGGCACAAGGCTAGGGACAACAACAAGAAGAGCACGGGACGGGTGCCGATTGTCCTTCCGATTCTGAAACAAGCAGAACATCGCGGTATAAAACTGGTGAACGGAAACAATCTGCAGCTGTCTCCCTCCCTCTGCTTGGCAAAGCAACACGAACAAACTCCTTGCAAGTGGCCACTTAAAGGACCGAACTTTATTAGTGTAATCCTTCTGAACTGTAAAATGCACTATGCCGATGCCGAGTGTCTTTAATAGTTTTTTCCCCTTGGCACTACAGCCCCAGTGGGCCTAGGCCTACCTCCGTGAACTTCTCCGTTCACATCGGCTTTTCTAGATCTCAGACATAAGGTAGGACTTCTTGGGCGGGTGATCAGCTCGTCGCAAGGTCTCTACCTGTATACAAACACAGAAAAACGCACACAAACATCCATCCCCTAAGTGGGATTCGAACCCACGATCCCGGCTTCCGAGCGAACGAAGATAGTGCACGCCTTAGACCACTCGGCTACCGTGACCGGCTTTAATACTGTTAAGTGTACTTAATTTTTTAAAGTTACAAGCGGAGATTCATAATCTGTAGTGACCATTTTTCTGTCCTCATTGCTTTCCCTTTTTCATTCCTTATTAGCTTATTTATTCGATCGTTCGTCTGTCTGTTTATTCTGTATGGCGCATCTCATAAGAAGAAAGAAATCTTATCACTTGCCAATGTCACATTACGTAAGAATAATTGCTAACTCATACTTAATAACATGTTAATATCATAATTATGGGCACGCAGTTGTTTCAGGGTTATGTTTGGAGAACAATGTCATTGGAAATGACGGCAATGAAAACAGGGCAAGGTCATTTGTTATCAGACGGAAATACACAACGTTAAATTATACGATTCCATGCAACAACAAATGCCGAATCACTATTACTAAAGTTTCGTAAAACACGCACACAGAAACAGCGATCTGCTTCAGTTGGTCGCTCATAGCAATTGAGAATCATTTACTTGCATTATTATTAAATGGTTCCGCAAGCTATGCCGGTGGTGGGGTCTGAAGACCTTGTGTACCACGGTAGCTCTTTCAGGAAACCGGATGGGTCATGACAACGTCCAGTGGCGGCCATTTGCGAACATGACAAAGAACCCAAAGACGAGGAAGTTCTTGACCAGCTGAGCGACTACAGTTCAAGACGGATTCTGCTGCATGCAGTTAGTTGAGAATACTGTGATTCCAGAGTCTAAAGCATCGATAGCTCAGTCGATATAGCGACGGGATACGAGCTGAACGGACTGGGTTCGATACCATGAAGGGGAAGGATATATTTCTCTAATCAATAGCATCTAGACCGGCTCTAGGACCCACCTAACCTCCTATCCGATGGGCACCGGGGATAAATCGGCCTGGGCGTGAAGATGGCTACTCCCCTCCGTCTAGTGAATAGATCAAGCATGGTGGAGCTGTACCTCCACTCCCTCATTGCTTCGTGCTTAATTATTTCAGCACAGAGTCAATTTTATCTTGCTATTTCAACTTTATGATATCAGGGCCTCCGTGTATTCATAATGCAATGACTATATAACATCACAGCATCCAATAGTGAAGAAATATAAAATACAGGTTTAAAAATGTCTAAGTAAGCATGTATTATTATTATTCTTATTGCTAGTGAGGTGGGACTAAGTCCCTTGTACTGCGGCCACTTCTGGCCTATTGTACCAGCCCCAGATGATAGGCGAGGGTGATTGTGGAGCAATTGGTGGAATGAAGATTGGTAGAGGAAACCGAAGTACTCGGAGAAACCCTGCCCCAGCGCCACTTTGTCCACCATAAATCCCACTTGACCAGACCCAGCATCGAACCCGGGCCGCCACGGTGGGAAACCAGCGACTAACCGATTGAGCTATGGCGCGGCCCTAGCTCCGTAAGTAGGTAAGTAAATAAGTAAGTACATACAGTCGGACTCCTTGGGCGGGGGATCGGTCCGCCGCAAGGCCGCTACCTGCACACAGTATAGCATAAACATAGAATACACGCACACAGCCATCCATGCTTCAAGTGAGATTCGAACCCGAGATTCCAGTGTTTGGGCGAGTGAAGACAGTTCATGCCTTAGCGTGGCCACTGTGATCGGCGAGAGACTGAAATATTTCGACTGAACTTTGTTACCATTTGGGACTGTTAGAAAAATGCCCATTTTTAATGACGACAGTCCATCTGTTCAATTGACTTAACGATTAAATTGTTTATCTATTTGTTTATGTACTAGGTTTATTTATTTCTTTACGTTTCTTTCTGTAGCATCATCCTTGCCACGTGTCTTTAATGGGGAGTTAAACTAGTCTATTCGTTCTTGTTTTCATCACTTTATGTTCTGCAGTGTTTGCTTCAACTCTGTGGAACTTATCTAATTTTGCAAAACGTTTCCTGCGCAACAACCCCAGTTCCTATACAACCGATGTTCTCTGGGCCTCTCACATGGAAGCATGATCACATGGTTTCTGTCGTCAAAATTACGGTTATACGGGCGGGCTGTGATTGAGGCTAGCTCTTTCTAAGGGACCCAACTGAATAGGTGTTTTCCTTCACCTGAGGACGGAAACAGATCCAGTTTCCGAAACGTCGTGTTTTTATTTGTTATCTTAAAAACCAGGACGATGGATAAAGTCCAAAAACCCAACATATCAGTGTGTTATACTCCATCGTCAGAATCCTATAGTAACTACTTAATCAAAATCAGTAAAAGGTAAGGTAAAGCTGTCCCTGTCCTTAACGCCACGAAGGCGTGTTGGGGAGTGGATGTATACTCGTACATGTCTCAGTATCATTTTGTCAGACCCAATTTGTAATATGGGTTCTTTTTCATGTCCAGAGTTATGTACTCGTATACATGGCCGAGAACATCGGATCTAGGTTTCCACTGATCACTGCACTGGAGACGGCAGATTCTTTCTTGCCCTGGCCTCTGCCTCCAACTGTAGATGCAGTGGGGGGAGTCCAAGGAGTATCTCCAGTGCAGCTGTTGGAGATGTTCGAATTGCTCCTGTGATACCTAAGCAAGCCAACCGTTGCAATTTGCTAAGTTCTGCCTTGCTTGTCAAAAAAAAACATTAAGTTGCGAAGATGGGAGTTGGGTGGAGCTCGCCCAAGTTCTTGTCAACAAGGCGGTGTTCTTATATAAAAAGAGGACGATGGATAATGTCCAGAAACATAATTACTTGTAGAATGATCATTAGGGCCCGGATTTTTATGACCTAAAAACTATAAATATATGCATGCACTTATGACCCAAAATTATGTCAAATATGACCTAAAAAGTGTAAAATATGACCTTAAATATTAAATGGGACATAAAATTTCACAATTTTAATTACAACTTTTACTAGAGTTTAAGAATGAAGATGATGATTGATCATATACACCGGGAATCTCTTTTGCGTATGAGAGCAAAAGAGCTCGGTTACGAATTTATGGTTTCTAGCGATGAAACGTGCGGATGTCAGGGAATAAAGTAAAGATATCCCTGTAACAGACCGTGGAGGTCCATAGGGTTGTGAGATGTTGAGGTTTCCACATTTTCTAGACATTCGGCTCATAGATGGCGGCAAGGTTGTCAGCCCTACGCGCCGGCCGTCCTTTACCCCCCAAAACATTCCAAGAATATTCCTGGTACTCATTTATGTTAGAGGTTGAGTCGACCGTAGGGCCATGGTGCGGCTGGAAAGATTAGGGCAATTGAAAAAAAATCCAATGACCTCATCGGGACTTGANAAACATTCCAAGAATATTCCTGGCACTCATTTATGTTAGAGGTTGAGTCGACCGTAGGGCCATGTTGCGGCTGGAAAGATTAGGGCAATTGAAAAAAAAATCCAATGACCTCATCGGGACTTGAACCCGCGACCTTCCGGCTTGTAGCATAGTGCCTCAATCAACTACGCTACGGTGTGCCACTGATGTCGAGGGCTACGGGCGGATAAAATCGAAGATCCATACTGCACAATAACCAAGAAAAGAACGAACAAAATAAATGGTACACGGTAACGCTCTGGGTTCACAGTCGGGAGGCGATTGTTTCTGATAACAGCCAGCGTAATGACTGGTAATGACTATCCTGAGGTTCTCCGCTCTTTCCTCAGTCATTCCAGTCAAATATCCAGGGATACTCCATTAGACCACGACCGTTTCCTTTTAAATCCTTTCCAACTCATAACCTGTCTACCATCCTACCATTCGACGCCACAGAGTCTGCGATACTGACAGCGTCGTTAAAACCCACAAAAAGTTTTACACCCATACAGAACCAGAGGAAAAATTATAGTTTTGTATATTCTAATTTTTATGTTTTTAGACAGCAGACAAGGAGACAAAAGGTTCTGGACTGAATGATAGCATCCAACCTAATTCATCATTATTTCTGATACCCGTTTACGTTCGAAACATGTCATGTATAATACTACACAAAAGGAAAAAACAAATTTGATGTTAAATGTTTGTGCCACTGAATCCTATGACTTAATTATCTAACGTCTGTTACGCGTCCAAATAAATTGCTCTTTGCTCCGCTCAGTATCTTTCAGGATACACCACGTAATTCGCCTTCGGAACGAGCCCATATATTTTTTTAGCACAGAATATAATTTGAATCTGGCCGAGTTTCGGATGTCATGAGCATATTATCATAGACATATGTATCTTCATAAACTGACATCACTTGCCAGCAATGCAATAAGGTGTGAGCAGATGTATTTCACAATGCAGCACATACCTGTCACTAAATTCATCGTCACATTCGCTGTCATATTACATAAACTATGCCGAAAGACACATTATGTTTTTTTTATATAATTCGCAAGCTCACCTGTAAAATGTCAAGTCGAAATTCGTGGACCATCTTGCCGATAAGTCACGAAACCACTTCCACTGCGTCGATTGTTTACGGGTTGCCATAGTAACGAAATCACAACAACAAATTCACTTATCTTTAAAAAAATTATCACTAACTGTCATCGACATATACCAGTAGTGAGCCTAGTGTGGATAAACCTTCATCCGACACATTCCACTACTGGCGCCTTCGCCGTCATCCCTCTATTGACTAAATGGACTGAATCAACGATGTTCATTTGTTATACCATGAAATGTCAGTGACTCCCGCATAGATGGCAGCATTTCCCACAATCAATCATGCAACCACCTCGCATGAAAATTATAGCAGTATGTCGTAACTGCAAATCAAGGAGTTAAACCCGTTATTAGTCAATGCGGAGCATTGGATGTTTTGTCCACTGAGGCTAAAGCAAAGCATCAGTACTGACAAACATGTTTCTAGAAAATTGTTCTCTTCTCACCTAATGTTTTAAAGGTGATTACCTCAAGGAGGAGGAAAATAAGAATGCATACAAGAAAGAAGAGACTGTTCTGGTTGCTAATCCACTTCTGAACGAGACCGATTCGGCCTCACTCCAGTTCCTTCCAATGCTTTTAATTCTAATAATAATCCGTAAATGGGAGGCACTATGCTACAAGCTGAAAGGTCCCAAGTTTGATTCCCAATGAGATTTTGGACTTTTCAATTGACCTAATCCTTCCAGCCGAACTATGGCCATGAGTCGCTCAGCCTCTAACAGAAATGAGTACGGGGAATATTCCTGAGGCTAAAGGCTGGCCGGCACATAAGACTGACCTCACCCCATGTGTGAGGGGATTGTCTGGAAAATTTGGGAGCCTCATCCCTTGGTACAGGGATACCCTTTACTTCTTTTTTACCTTTACCTGTAAATGAATCGAACTGACACTGGAAAAATGGAGAGTAATAAAGAATTTCTGGTTAACAACGCATATTTGGACCGGATACGAGTCCACACCAGAAAAATATTTGCTGTAATTTTATTGCTGCCTAGTGAAATGAGAAAATAAAGAGAAGTCTTCCAGGCACCTCCCCAGTGGGTAATAGACCTAAAGATGAAAGACACTAGGTCTCAAACCACAGAGTCTAGTTAGATGTCTTGGGACAAATTACAAAAGTCTGCACTAGTTTCAACACCTTTAGGACAGGTGTCAGTGGCAGGCTAGTGTCAACATGACAAACCTCTCATAAAGACAGGAATTTCTTGACTAGATGAATAACTATCAATAGCCTAAGAAGTAAGAGAAACATTCTTCAACCTGAGTTAAGCCTATGACAGAATTTCCAGATGTTAGAGCTACATTGATTCTGTAATATTCGTTGAGTATTGCAATATGATTGCATGATCTGCATTAGGCATAATGAAGTTGAAACATGTCTGAAAGATTGGAAAATATGCAATTCCAAAATGGATGTTTCACATCCAAATTTTCATGCCTGATGCTTAAGACCTCAATGATATCTGCATCATTCTAGATGACTGATGCAAGTAGCACTTCACTATTACCAATTGATATGCAGACCCTTGTGGCTTCTATTGAAACAGAGGGAGGCAGGTCTGCATGATTATAGGGAATGCCTTTTCTAAGAACAGCTGCAGCTCCGCCATTTCTTTCTAGGAAGTGGTTAGTCCAATAAAAGTGATAATTTGGAATAAAGAGCATCTTATGGGGTTTAAGATGTGTCTCTGAGAACAGAGCCATATCTATATATAAGTACTGCAGCTGTATGCTGACCTCATGGCACTGCCTCAAAATGACATATGCATTAAATGACTTTGAGCGGCCTATTAACTATAGCAGCCATTTTGCTTCATTAATTTAAGTACCTTTTTTGTAGTGGCCATTATTTTGTCGTTTTCTGACATCACTTCAGTGGGTTATGTAATGATCTGTTGCATTACAGTGACATCTTTCAACATGTCACTGTTAGATGAACTGGGAGCCTGTACTTACAGATCTGTTCTCTGAATTTCCTATTGTGGCAGATGCTGTGGCTTGGGGGACTGAACGCTTTTCCCTTCTGTCTGCAGTGCCTGTGATTGCTAGTGTTGTGTGTCTTGACACATTGCAGCTGCATAGGGCTGCTCTGGTGAGGTGAACTTAAAAAAGAACATCTTTCCGAAGGATCTTTTTTGAGCTCGTCCTCTTCTTTGCAATTCTCCTTTCACATGGCTGCAGCCTCAAATTGACATTGGACATTTGTCCTACTAGGGTGCAGTTGTAGCAGCTCGGCGTAGATTCTGTATTTTGCCTTTTCCTGGCATTCCCTATGCACGTGGCTACCATCTCACCAGAAACATATAGGGGGTTGCTTGTAGTTGGCCCAGACATGGGCAAAATTTTGGCAGTTGTAGCATTGTGCGAGGCCAGTCTGAGCTCTGCATAACTCTACCTTGATGATAATATGGTTAAGACTATTCAGCTTGAATATCTCTTGAGATTTTGTTTCTTGCTTATGCAACAAGGAATAGAGAGAGGGGTTCCATGTGCATTTGTGTTGGGTGCTGTTTAAATGGCCATCAGTTGCCTCATGTTGATACCGTTGAAGATCGCATCTGTGGTCTAGTGGTCAGAGTTCTTGGCTACAGATTCAGAGGTCCCGGGCTCGATTCCCGGCGCTATCAAATTTTCTGAGAAGTAGTGGGTCTGGAATGGGGTCCACTCAGCTTTGTGAGGATAATTGAGGAGCTATTTCAAGGAAATAGCGGCTCCGGTCTAGAAAACTCGAGATTGACGGCTGTGGGGATCCATTGTGCTGATAACGCGACACCCTCTACCCCCTAAAGTTGGCACTAACTTCACCGACAAGCTGCAGTCACTTGGTCGGTATAGTTCGGTTGCGGACTACAGGCCGTTAAAGCCAAAGTCCTCAAGGCTGTTGGAAATATCTTCTGCTGGCGTGTCTGGGGAAAGGTGACCGATTACTTCTCGGAATTCGGGGAGAAGGTAAAATAATAGAGATTAGTTTTCTCCAGGTATGATTTCATGACAGAATACTCCACAATTTCTCTTGTTATGATACTGGTTCCATTTCGTGTATCTCGGAACTAGTACTCTTCTTTGACGTAGCATTTTAAGTCACTTTGGGGTTGAATGAGTTTTGAGGTAGAAGTCTTCACTATCGATGAATGCTTACCTGGCTTTCTGGAAGCCTCCTTCTCCAGTAGTGTGTTCTCTGTGTCCATGTCAGTAGTTCTGAGAGGTGCGAAGAACTTGTAAGTTGACACTGATTTTGAAGGCAGATTAATAGCTGCTGATGTTGGAACTAGTTTAGTAGATTTCTTCTCTGCATGTGAGGTATTATTAGACATGCCTCTTACGTCTCTTTACTTCCTGGAAGTTTTCATCCTGGGCTTTTGATTCCACTGAGGTTTGAACACTGCACCACTTCATCCTACCTGTGAACTCACTTTCAGGGCAGCCATCAGTTCATTCAGTGTTACTGTGTACATGCTGTAAAGAGCACTATAAAGCAGCTCCCATCTAGACCTTCACAAATGTTTGCTCTGTTCTCCTACACTCAGACCTTTCCCCCCACATTAGACGGTGCACTTCCAGCAACATTGTCAATCTCAGAGAGTAATTTATATATTTTTGCTCTACAAAAGCTTTTTATTGATATTTGTTTGTAATGGTATGACATTCAGTTTTCCGTGAAGCTTGATTCTGTGTCGAGTTTCTGGAATCCAAGTACTGGGACACCCGCCATCTTGGTGTACACTGAAGTTCGCTACTAGTTTTTTTGTTTCACTCAGAACTGCGCACACCTGTGGCCAGGCAGCAAACTTCACCAACACCACCTTTGTCAAATGGGAGTTGGTAATGAATACAAAACATAAAGTGAAGTCCGTAAAAAACACTCTGTCCAACAGATGTTTCCTTCAAATCCTAAATCCAGTCAAGACCTGGTGTAGCTGACTTACTGTCTGACCACTAACTCAATATCTCAGAGTTCCCTGCTCTCTCCTCCTTGCCCTAACCCAACTCTCTTCACTAACTCCTAACTTGTCCTGCTTATAACATCTCTGCATGGATCATACAGAAAATACAATTTCTCTGTTGCAGTGCAACTGTTGTGTTTGTGTCTGTTGGGGTGCCCACATGATAGCTACTTAGCCATTGCCTAGCAATGGCCGTTCTATCCAGCGCCATTATTTAGCAACGGCCATCTCTCCAGGCTTCACAGTTCTTGCCTTGAACAAATATGCCACAATATTACATAAAAAAAATGTAATGCAAGAAACATCTTTGAACAACAAAAACCATCTGACATTTCCATATTTCTAACAGGCAGGTGTATGCAGATGCAGGACCAATGCAACAGCACTGGCAAATCAAGTGGCCGATTGTGGCAGCAGACTGTATAACCTCTTCTTCCCCCTTTTTAGTTACATGAGAATTAATTTTTGATCATCTTTATTCACATGGTGATCACTAACTGGCAGCAATCAAAACATATTATGCAACAATGTAAATGAAATTGTTCTGAGAGCTATGACATCAGTGATATAATTCATCAGTGCCTGGAAATTGTGTTCCTTGCAAGAACTGTGAAATGCACCTGTTAGATTGGTCATTTCTGTCTGTCCGCATGAAACAATTCTCCCACTGGATGAATTTTCATGATAGTTTATAGTAAGGAGTTTTATTAATATAAGTCCACAGAATTCAATTTTGGTTAAAATTGGAAAAAAATAATGGACACTTTACACAAAAACCCAAATGCATTTACGCATGATGCTCTGCCTCTCACTTCCCTGAAGAATCCATGGGAATGCAGCCACTCACCCCATTCATTAACTGCACAAATTAACTATCCCAATGAGCCTTGAATTTTTTCATATTTGTTGAAGTCAGGCTCTGGGGAGGGGTGAGGTATTGCTGGTTACCTGTAATAGTTTGGACCAATCTTGGAATGTGCTCTTAATGAAGTCAAAAATCTGAATCTCAGACAGTACACCAAACGTGTGCAATTATTCCCTTCTCCAAGATCAGGTGATATATTTTAGGGTGAATGCAGATAAGAGATTCATGAGAAAAATATCTGCATTTAGAAAGTTATCAGTTATTCACACTGCATATATTTCACAGGTATACCAAAAGACACATAACTTGAACTATTAATAATTAATTCAGAAGGGGTATCCTAAAATCTGACTTTCTGAAAATGTTAAAATATTGATTAAACCTACCTCAGCTGACTTTCTCACATCCAACAGTTGACACAGTAAGTAAAAATAATAAAAGAACTGTATCAGTCTTTAAGCATAATTGCCTACTGTGCTTGTCCAGAATGATTGTAACACACAATAAAATAAAAAAAACACTGTCCAACTCTTCTTCCATTCTTTGCATCATCTTATAGGGAATGATGTATTGCAGCAGCTCAGGCACTCTGTTCACTAAAGAGGACAAGTAAATCACAACAAAGCAAGGGAAATTACTCACAATGTAATTATTTATAATAAAGAAGCAAAAGATCTGAAACTGTTACTGCTGATTTGGCAAGAAATTCTGAAACATACTGGTCATGTTACTTACTGGGACTAAAATATGCAATTACTCCAACTATGTTAAGGTTATTAGCTGAGGATATTTTGGCATATATTTAGCAAGACAATGGCTTCAAGGTCAAGGGCATCCCTTACTCAGAGAAGCATTACACAGTACTAGGTAATAGAAAAACTTTATTTTCTGTGAAAATCTATTTTTTACATTTATTTTGAGTACAATGTTTTATGCATGCTATGCATAAACAATTAAAGAGTTCCACATTATTATCGGAATGCTGCTGCGGAGAAAGCTGATTTCTTTCAGAGGAAGCTTTAGGGTTGCAATTTGCCCACCCCTACTACATGTATATAAAACAGGTGAGACAAAATAGAAAGACCTCTTACCTTATTAATACTGAACACTAATACTAAATAGTTAAAGACTACTGCTGTTCACTGTTATAAATCTACTGTATCTTGTCTATTTCACATATAACAGTAAAATGTAATTATGACAAAGACCTCAAAACTGGTTAAAATTAAACTTTTAATAATGATAATTTTAATGTGCAATCAACATTATAAATTATATTGTCCTGTATAAATACTGCAGATGCAACGTTTGTACCTATTTTGACTCTCTGAAACACAAATATCAGAATTAACCTTCCAATTAAAATTTCATCAGTACTCATACTGAAACTTTGTGTCCAACATTCGGTATCATTATCAACATCTTGTTTGTCTGAGGATACTTACAACAAAGAACATGAACATTGACAACTGAATTTCACTGTTGTTAATGGGGACTGAGACTGACTCATGTATATCAGGAGCATGGAAGAACACACTTTAGCCCCAATTTATCCAGCAGCTTACAGCCATTTTTAAAACTATTAACTCAGGTGGTTAGTTGCCAGCTTCTCATTGCGGCAGCCTGGGTTTAATCCCAAGTCAGATTATGTGGGATTTGTGGTGACAAAGTGGCACTGGGGTTTTCTCCAAGCACTTCAATTTTCCTTGCCAAGTGTCATTACAGCAACTATTCCACATTCATTAATCATCCTGTCATTGATGCTACACAGTCTTGACACTGACAGCATCATTAAATAACCTACTAAAAATATTTAGTAGTTTTAAATGCCTTGTACCACACCTGGTTATATTTCTTTTCAGTACTCTTTCTTTACGAGACTTGGCAGTTAACCACAATTATGGTTTCATGCTGCAACTAACAACCCTCTTTAGGTCGGCTCATGTTAGGTCATGGTGACATGTGCTACTGCAGTTTAGTAGATTCAAATCTTAGATTTGAGACTGGATATCACAGCTTGAGATTTTCTGTAGTTTCCTGAGTCCTCCCAAGCAAATGCTAGGATAGCGCACCAAATTATGCCGCAATCACTTCCATCCACATCCTTTCCAATTAATTATGCACAAATCATTGCTATTAAACACTACATAACTGAAGCTATTTAAGGTTTCATACAACAAACCAAGAATGAATAAATAAATAAAACATTAGTCAGCAATATTTGTCAAACAGTTGGCACTCAGTTCCTTTTCTTGTTGCAATAAGTGTTACACTGTGCAGTGTCATACTTATTTTTCAAAAACATGTGTAAATTAACAGAGAATTGTAGGAATACAGAATGAACTATATATTATTAACTGAAAACAGAGCTATTGCCACTGATATTCACATAATGTTCAGCAAGTTTATGAAGAGAGAGCAATCAAAGGTATTTGCATGAACAGGCAATTTCAAGATGGAAGAGAAGATGCTGCGGATTACAAAAAATTCAGGTGTCTGACAACTTCAGGAAATAATCCAAATATGGGAAAAGTGAATTAAATGGATAATAAATAAATGACTGACTGACTGTTTGGAGGATACAGAAAAAATGTACATGAAGGAGACTATGGGATTCATTTTGCTCGAAAACTTGGAACAGGAAGAAAACCTAGATGAAAATTGTATAGAAAATCTCAACAGCATGCAAATAAGAAATGAGAAGAAATTTTCCCATCTTTCAGAAATATCTTGGCAGAAGATGACTTTTGGACAAAACAGTGACTTATAATGACCCTTGGTCTTCTAGTCAGAAACAAAATGCCAGTCTCAAAAAGAAAAGGATAGTCTCTGAGACTGAAAAAAGTACAAATGTGAAAATCAAGTTCAAAACTTCGCCAATCTGCCCTTTCTCATTTCAAAAGAATTATCTATTATATATTTGTCTCTCAAAAACAAGCATATAACATCATCTCCACACTTACAGCTGCAAGAAAGACTCACAACAGACTTTTTCCCCAGAGCACTTTCTGTAGGCAAGTTCTGGGCAAAAAAAAAAAAAAAAAAAAAAAACATATAGTGTCAGGTACCTCCTATGCTCATATCAAGTGGCCTTGTAATATTTTCATGTCCCCAAAAGTAAAATATCCCTTAAAAAAAGTCAAGCCAAAGTTATGACAGCTGAAAAGCCTTTCGGAAAACTATTTCCAGTAATGTTTCCACGCATGGCAGACACATTACAATGCATGTATAATGTTTAGAACCTGGGTACTATGAAGGTGCCCTCACTAATAATAGGTTTGTGTCAAAACTTACATTCACTGCTGCAACAGCAAATACTGGACACAAAATTTCATGAGTACACATATGTTTATTATTTCATAATGCCTTTAATATGACAATGTATAAACACTTCATTATATTTATCTCGCTGTATTATCCTTTCCATTAAATATGTGTATTTATTCTAAGAAATGAGACCTACTCAAACATTTATTTCAATAACAAACACTGTTTCCAGAATTCTGAAAGTCACTACACAGCAGCCAAAACATAACATCCTTACAGTCAGTAAATATTACAAACATAACATTTTCTGAAATATACTCAATTCCATATATTTTACATTCTAGGTCTACCACTAAAATTTGTTTATTGGTACACAACTTCTAAGCTAGAACAACCAGGAATACTATTTGGTGCCTGATAAAAATCTGATTATGTAAATTGACAATCTATTTCAATGCTTAAAAACCTCAAATCATTTTAAAATTTGTTTTAATAGCATCAGTGTCTTAAACTGCCTAAATTTAAAGCTTGGCCCAATACAGTGCTGTAAACTGGTTCACTCACCATTCTTCTGCAACATTTTTATTTAAAAATTCATCAATTTGTTTCAACAAATACTGTAAATGCACTAAAAAATTTTATATCAAAAGAATAACCATATATTTGTAAAAGTTCTATAAACTCTATGATATGTAAATTATATCTAAGCACTTTATTAAATATACTATGCAAAAATACTTGACACACACACATGCTGAATTTCACTGGATGGTTTTCTCAAAGAAAATAATTAATTTCCTGATAACCTGCTTAGAATAGTGTCAAACAAGGTTATCTTTTGTAATACTTTTACTTATCCTATTTTGCTGTCTGAATGGATGAATAACCTGGGAATCATTTTCATTCCATGAAGATTTATTCATACACTTACGAGGCACAACAGATTTAATCTTTTTCTTAGTTTCAGATGGAGATGAACATTTTGTTTTCACATTTTCTTGTGGTGGCATCACTTGTTTTATGCAATCCATCCAGTGCTTTCTTACATGCTCATTAGCAGCAACAAAGATGCGATGAGTCCCAAAAGAAGTATCTTTAAACCCCACTCGGAAAGCAGATCGGCCTGAGGAAAACAATTCCGTGACTGATTAGATAACTTTATGAAGCAGTGTCCTTCTTGAGTAGCTGACAGTCATTCAGTTGGTCAAGAATTTCCCTGCTTAGAAATTTACTATCTTGTTCATAAGAGTCTTGTCTCTCAACAACGTTCTGAGTCAGACAAATCCAGTTCTCACCCTCACACCCTATTCTCTTAAGATCCATTTTGATATTAACTTCCCATCTTTGCCTGAATTTCCCTGCAAGTTTCTGACCACTACTTTCTATGAATTTTTCATGTCCTGCCCACATCCTCAGTTTGATCTTCCTACTATTAGATGAAGAGTTTAGTTTATGAAGATCATAATCCTTCTGTTACTACCCCTCTATTAGGAACAATTCTCAGCATTTTCTTCCTAAACACCCTCAATCCATGTTTTTTTGCTGAGGGTGAGAGACCAAGTTTCACACTCATATAAAGGAACGTTTATAGAATTATATTTATCTGTAGGTTTTTATATATAACTGAACTAAATTGCAAAAAGTATGAATTAAGCAATTAGATTATACTATCTTTTCCTGACTGACTCTAGGAGTAAGGAGGCAAGTCAAAGCAAATGCTGCATTAACTGCAAAGTATACATTTTTTCATTCCCTTCCGTTTTCATAAATGTGGGTGCATGCACGCGTGCACACACACTCATTAGGACATTAAGAAAGCCCTTAAAGTGGAAACACTGCAAGAAAAAATTGGTTAAATTAATAATATAGTGGAATAAAAATGTATTACACACTGGCATTAAAAGCTGAAAATGACGAATAAATAATCATTAGAGAGAACAAGTGAGAAAAATATATAAAAGAGAGCACTGAAAGAGTCAAAACAACTATACAGAACTAAGATAGCTGTCATAAGATTTCCATCCTAGCAGAAATATCAAATCAAAGTCTTGCATGATGATGTAAAGACAACTGGTTATAATGTGCATTCTTTCATGTCTTATCATGTAATTATAATTAATTATCATGGTATCAACAAATGCCAAATTGAACCATTAACAAACAGAATCCTCACCAGTCTGAGTTGTTTGAGATCCCGTGCTTCTTCGTGTAAGCTCCACTTCTTCAACATTTATCTGCTCTGCTGGTATCACAGGAACACGGACAGTAAACTTGACTGAAGGACGGTAAATGCGGGTCACCACAAAACATGTATCAAATAAGAAGCAATGAAATTTCTGCAAAATAAAACCAATTCCAGGTCTCATATCTGTGGCATGAACATAAAAATGTTCTACTCAGGAACATTCTAATGTAATGTAAGCAGATTTTTTTAATTTTTTAATTTGCTTAGTGGGGGGGTGGAATCCAACTGGGTCCACTTGGCAAGGCGACCACTGATCGGTCTATTGTAGTCTGCCCCAGGTGATTATGATGCTGGAGTATTTGGTGGAATGAAGATTGGCAGGGGAAACCGAAGTACTCAGAGAAAACCTGCCCCACCACCACTTTGTCCACCACAAATCCCACTTGACCAGACCCAAGATCAAACCCAGGCCGCCACAGTGGGAAGCCAGCAACTAACCGAAGCAGATATTCATCCTAGTCTTAATTCATAAAAAAATGTGAATACAGAAAGACTGGAATTCAAAGGGGCCTGAACACTTTTCCATTCCAGCCAGGTTTCAGTTTAACAAAAGTTCAATTCTTGGCACATAGACCAGCTATCATGATTGATTGCATGTGTGATTTCCTTAGCCTCTCCATACGAATTCTGCAACTATTTTCAAAAGGCTAACACCATTTCCTCGCACATTCTTCTCAGTTCATCAGTCATGGTTCTCCCATTGATGGCTATATAACATATACAGCTGAGAAAGTGTATCTGAAAAACTAAGAATTCTATATAGCATGAGATCTTAAGAAAATATGCCACTTAGCTAGTCAAGAAATTTGACTGTTTCATGGAACGAAAGATTTATTACCACGCCTGTAAGAGCTTGTCACTGCATGTTATCCAGAGCCAGCCGAATCCAGTTTACACCTTCCCCCAATTTCTTTGAAACCATTTTAATCCTTCAATGCAGAAGGCTTAGTATACTCTCAGCCAGTTGCGTCACATGCCACAGGATGACAAGTATGCTCACAGAACACAGGTGGATTATTTGTAGCTTTATCTCTTGATGAGTTTAAAAAACATTTTATCCCAATTTATATGGTCTGACAGAGGGCTGAATGCACTTTCTTTTGACATACAATAAAAAAACACAGGCTTTGTGTTAGAGTGTACTCTCACATTACAAATCTAAGAAGCCAAGTGTGGCAGGACTCTTGAACAGACCAATCCAATGCTTCCATCTCTCTAAATATGTCAGACATAATTTATGTGGTCAAGAGAAGAGCTAATCAGCTTTATCATATCAACATAAATATTGATTACACTTCAAAACCAACATAGCTTATAAATGCTTGGAAAGACTGGCTTAACAGTCCACTGGCATCAGGCTTGCATCTCATATGACATTTGTATAGTTTCAAAATGCATATCCACAGCAAAAGTTACATGGTCATTTGATGGAAACATCTACGTTCTCAGTACATTCTGGTATCGCCCCCATCTTCAAGGTCTTTGATGCAACAATGTTATCAGCATCAAGATCAAGGTAAAGGTAAAAGTAAAATTGTTCCTGTACTTAACTATTAATCAAGCAATATGCCATGGAAACGTATAGGAGGGGATGTATAGATACATATACTCTCGACCTTGGCTCTAGTTGGAGGTGAGTGGTCAGCTTTATCCCTATGGAAAGAACACCCAGTATACTCTGGACAGGAGAATGGGTGGACCCCAGAAACAATCTGGATGACATGGAGGAGAGAAAAATCTTTCCCCACCTGGGACTCGACCTCTGACCCCTCAGTCATCCAGCCTGTAGCCAGTCACTATACTGACTGTGCCATCCTGGCTCCCTCGAGAACAAAGTATTTGACAGAAAGTGAAACAGCGAGATTAGTAAATGAGGAAGATCCTGCAAAATCAAACGACAGATCAGAATGTACTCTTAATTAGAGAGGATTATAATTGAATGTCAATTTTAAAATAATGAGTAATATTTTGCATAAACATTTGGTTCTATAAGAGATTTTAGGAAACTAGTGGTGCAAGTTTAGAAGAGGACTGATCGGCTGTTTGCATTGAGATTAGTATTGGAGAAAATATATGAATTTGGTACTACTTTGTATTTATTCTCCATTGACTTTCAACAAGATAATGAAATGGTGGACAGAGAATATCTGTAGCAAGCTTTAAGTCAATTTGGGATCCCCAAGAAATTGGTTAATCTTGTAAAAATAGCCCTTTTAGATTTTAACTACAAGGTTAAAGTTAAAGAACAACTGCCTAACACTTTAAGGCAAAAAGGAGATTTTGCCAAGGGGATGTGTTGTCCACAGTTGGTTAATATTGTTTTGGAGAAAGCAATAAGATATGTTGAAATTAACCACAACATAAACATTTTCAACAGAAGAAGGTAATATTTAGCATATGCAGATGATGTGGTAATACTTGGGTAATTAGTGGAAGTGAATGAAGCATTAGCACAAATGAAGAGTGAAGCATTAAAGGCTGGACTATAAGTGACTGCATATAAAACCAAGTACATGAGTTATGAGGAACTCAGCCACCCTTTGACAGGATATGAATATTGCTGTTATATATTTGAAGAGGTTGGCATATTAAATATTCAGGTGCTTTGATAATGGAGGCCAATTAAATTAGAGAATAAATCAAGATGAGAAACACTACAGGCAATAAATGTTGCGTCTTATGTCTAGAAGTTTCGGGACAATATCAAAAACTGAAATCTGAAAAATAATGTTAAAACAAGTTGTGATGTATGGATGTGAAGCGTGATCCATACCTGAAGATGATAAAATTATGTTAAATACAAGGGCAAAAAAATTCTGAGGAAAGTGTAGACTGGTAAGTGAGCAAGGGTTGAGGAATCGGAACCAAACATGAACTGGGGGAATTATATTGTCATGTGCTTAGTGGCTAGAGATGGAGTTTTGATTGATAACTGGATTTATTGGACTCTTTAAACTCGTAACTACAGGTATCAATAGCAGTTCACAGATCTAGAGCCTACAAGTCACTGTGGCTTGCATTAAGTCTTTTCTCAGTCTGCTGTGTCTTTACCAGTCAAGCATTACGAGCAATGGCTCCCAACACCATAGATTCCTCAGCTTCCGAGTTCATGTTCTTACTGGCTGGCAACCATCTCACAACTAAACCATGGCAGTAACTCTAAGTGTCTCTTCACCCTCAACTCCTGAAAGCTCTGATTCAGTTCCTGGTATACAGCCTCAGGGCAGACCCCATAGAAAAAACAGCCTACAACAGCTCTTCTATTGCTGCAAGCATAACTGTTGCTGTGATCACATGATGGTTACTGACCAGTGCAAAGCAGTGAATGCTCACTTAATAGCGCCATCATGAGTTTACCATGATGTAACCTACCAATGGAAGTTTCTTCGCGCTCCAAAATTCTGGCTTTGAGCCCTCATGTCATAGTATATTAAAAGAAGAATGGATTGGTTGGGATATACAATCAGAATTGACCAAACAAGGATGGCTAAGAAATTTTTTGAAAGCTAGCTAGGAGTAGGAAAATCCAGACAGATGACTGAAGAAATAGGGACTGATTTACAAGAACCTGAATGAAGAGATAAGGAAAATGACAAATAAGAGAGAATAGGCATATGTCACAAACAAGGACAAAGTTCTTACAGGATACCAAAAGCCAGGAAATGACTAATAACATCTGGTAGTAGTATAGACTACAAACTCCTCATTATACCATTTTTTCCATCCTCTGACACACCCCCAGTCTAAGGAAAAGAGATTATATTAAATCCTATGCAAAGTAAAACAAGGCAACTGATACAATTTTCCTTACCGTTCCATGACTATCTTTAAGTTCTCCAGAACAAATAACTGCTGTAGATTTTTCTACCAGATTCATGAAGGAATGATCATGTGGAAAATGTAGTCTGCTACAAACAAGTCTACACTTGGCTGCACCAATTGCAGCATCAGATTGCTGTAGCACTTGTGTTAGCGCTGAAATTGCTTTAGACAGAAGATTTTTGTCCTCATGGCTGCTTGGTGTATGCCTTAGTATCTCACCAACTAACAGAGGATACTTTGTCAATCGTGATCGTGGTACATCTGAAAAATAAAAAGATACAGCAAATCAAAACCATGAAGCTTTCTTACCAAGTTACACTTAGCATTGTAATCAGAAAGTCCTTCAATTACCACTGGAAATAACACATATTATCACAGTAAATTTCATACTGCAAATTTATTTTTATATAAACACAAAGGATAATTAACATGAGCACAATGATACACATCAGTGATGTCCACATATTTCACTTCATAAATGACCTTATTGTTAACTGAGAGCAGATACAAATCTATTACTTCAAAGCTAAAAAACAGCATGTTTAAGCTACAGTATTGATACATATAAATCACATTCCTGTGTTATGGAAATTTGGGTTACAGAATATTGTCCTTATGGAAACTGAAAAATATGATGATACAATTTATCATACAGACCATAAATTCGCTCTTATATAAAACTGGGGTAAAAGCTGTTTAAACACAAAATGCAAAATATATTCTGCAATATACACTTGGTCGTCGACTTACGACCGACTTCCGTTCTGACTGACAGGTTGTAAGTCGATCTGGTTGTATGTCGGCCATATATTTATTAACAGTATTTTTTAACCTTTTCTAATCGTTTTATCATAGTTATAATTTATTTTTAAAAACTTTTACATTTTAATCATCTTTTATTTTTATTTTTTTTTGTGGTCGTAAGTGCGGCCGGTCATAAGTTAAGAAATTCTGACCGTGCATGCATGAGTGTGTGCTCTATTTTAGCATGCAGAGCCATTGCTATGCAATGACCATGAGATGAGTGCATATACCAGGGCCGTTTCTGGGCAACGGCTCAGTAAACATGTTCCCAGCAGCAAGGACACAACAGAAGAGCTGTGTTTCCTATGTGGTCCATGACGAGATGTTATAAGCAAGGTACAAGGGTAGAGCTTTGCCAGTTCTGTATGGGGAGGATTTCAGTGCAGAATATGAAGAGTCACCACTGTCAATAACCAGGGAACAGCTGCTGAAAATACAGCAGGCTGGAAATACATAGCATGTGCTGTGGTGATTTGTAAAGTGTGGAGATTAGTAATGGCACTGTAATTACTTGTAGTTCTGAGTGTGTGTATAGGCGATCAACAAATCCAACACCCATTCTAAAATCCTGTCAACAGTCACCCCTACACGTGACAATATATTAGGTATCAAGTTCTTCCAGAATTTAGAATGTTATAATACAGGATCAAGGACATGGATGTTTTCTATGTATATGATCTGGCAGGTAAATAATGGTAACATAGGTGGCACATGTGTCATTTTATACTGGTATGCATGTAGGATTACAACCTTCAATATGGTCCCCAATCATAGATTTAATGTGTTCCTGCATGTCAGCAAGAGATTGCCCTAATGCTGTATGAATGGCTTTTGCCACAATGTCACGTCATTTTCATGGCCGCAAATGAAAAGACATTGTCAAGGAACATGATCAGTGGGTGTCTGTAAATCTTCAAGGAAGGTGAGAAAGCTATGAAGCTTCTGATTATCAAAGACTATACAATCTGGATGGGTCATGTTGACATGAGTGACAGGACAGTGAACAGCTATGGCACAAGCAAGAGGACCTGGAAATGGAAAGAAAGGCTCTACTTTCATCTGTGAGACCTCAGCACTCTGAACTCATTGTCTACAAGTCCTGTAGTGGAAATAAGTCTAATCTGAACTTTAAGGAGCTGCTGATCAGGGATCTCATTCTATTCCACAGTGTGAAAACTGAAGTATATGCTGTTCCAAGGGCTCAACCCAGCAGTTCAGAGAACAGAGGACAAGCCACCTTAGAGCAAAACATTCCTTGCTCTGGTTGCCTAAAGAAAAACACTGTCATGGACATGTGTACCAAATAAAAAAGCAACAAAAGAACAATATATTTTTACAAGAATTGTGTCTGTGGTCTGGGTGCTGTGCCATGCTTTGAGCTGTGGTATACCAAAACCTGTGACTAGTACTGACTGAACTGAATCCAACAGTGTTCAGTGTATCACATGATTACATAATGAAACACATATTTCTCCTCCAGTCAAGCATAGTGTGATGTAACGAAACTGCCTCCTTCAGGAATAAAGGTCTGTGCCTATAGTTCACATAGTAATATACAAATTATAATCAGGGATAAATGAGGAACACAAATGGAAGTGCAAGTGTAATATGGCTAGATATTACATGAGTATACAATCACTTTTTTTATATAAGTAGTCATGCTGTAAAGTTTATTAATCTGCATATGCTTCTTTAAATAAACATAACATTAATCCACAACAAGTAAATACATTACATTCAGTTGAGAAATGGTACTTTTTCAACTGAATAAGGCACTCGTTACTCTATTACATTTCTAGCATTGCACTATTAGAATTTAAAACTGCTAACTGAAAACTAAACTTGTTGGTTTGCACACATATCACATTGGTGCAGAGGACTAAATGGATGATATACTCAACTGTACCCCTACCGGTAAACTAACGTGTTTAGCTACCCTTACACAATTCTGTACATATATGGCACATAATCCACTAGTCTTTTTCTAGCACTCATGGAATTCTGCTCTTATGAACTGAAACAGAATTATGGCTAAGAATTCATCATAAGGCCAAAAGGAGATATGCACAATCTCCTGCAAGAGATTCTAACATTTCATTCTCAGACATTCCAAACTGATGTAAGCAATGATATGATTGCATGCAGTACAAACAGTATTCAAACTATAATTCAAAATTTAGATATGCATTATACATTACCGAGGTAGGTCCATAAGTCCAGCTTTCTACTGCATGATGATTCAAGACTTCGCTTCAAGAATTCCTGAAAACGTCTGTTAGAATTTTTCTCTTCCAGTAATGCTCTGGCCCTTACTTGATTTGAGCAGTACCCAACATAGCAATTAAGACCTGGAATCTGTCACATCAATTAACATGTAGGAAACTGCATCAGACATATCAGGAGTACATGAAGAGTTTGGTTTTGAAAAGGAGAATACGATCTCAAAAAATGGACCTGATAAAATTTGTGAAAAATATGACAAAATCAGAATAATAAATCTACAAAATGATTGTTATCATTCACTTCAAGAACTGTTTACTGAGCATATCTGATCACCAGTAACATATTGGCACGTGTAGGGTGGTACGCATGATGAAATAATGGGTTCTAGTTCAGATGATTAGATTTATTAATGCTTTGGTTACAACCTCTCTTAATTACACTTCCATTTGAGCACTATTGCTGATTTACACACAATTCATAATTCACTGCTGCACGCACACTAGGATTCCCAGTCTTCACTAGTCTCATGGCAATGGATCTCAACACAGAAACTATAACAGTCTCACTGGATCACCCATTCCAAATATTATGCATGTATGAAGTCTTCTAATCATACTTAAAGCCTTCACAGGTCTTCTACAAACTTCCCGTGGCTGTCTCCCATCGAGAACTGAACTGAATTGTCACATACACTCACTGACACTTCTAGTTCAATCTCTTCTCACGATTCCACCGCTATTAATTCTCTCTCGTAGCTTCTACCTAACTGAACTGTCACACACACTCACTGACACTTCTAGTTCAATCTCTTCTCACGATTCCACCGCTATTAATTCTCTCTCGTAGCTTCTACCTAACTGAACTGTCACACACACTCACTTATATAGCCAAGGGACAGGCAACGCATCATCATAAACACATGTCATGTGATCACTACCCACCACTGTTGTGTGACGTCACCGCACACACAGGAAACATGTCACATGACAGCCACCATAACTCTATTGCACTGGTCTGCCACATGATACCACACTGTGAACACACATTGTTTTTACATGGGTGCTTTTTCAACTTCATGTTTTGTTTTGTCTGCAATGGATGGAAAAATCGAGCAACAGGTCTGTATAAAGTTTCATGTGAAGGTCAGTAAATCCACTATTAAAACCCCATGAAGTGTTTCATGATGCTTTTGGAGAACATTCTTTAAGCCAAACAGCGGTTTTTGAACAGCATTCACGTTTCAAGACCAGTCAAGTGTCAGTTGAAGATGAGGAAAGTTCAGGGTGACCAAGCACCAGCAAAACAATAAAAAATGTTGAAAAAATTTGAGAACTCATCCACAAAGACCATCACCAAACAATCCATGAGCTCACAGACACCGTTGGGATCAGTTATGGACTTTGCCACAAGATTTTAACAGAAAATTTGAACATGTGTTGCATTACTGCAAAGTCTGTTCCCCAATTCTTGACAAATGATTAAAAGCAGTGGAGCGAAATGTGTGTCTTTAGTTATGAGAGAAGACTAACGAGGACCCAACTTTTAGATCTATGATCGTAACAGGTGATGAAAGTTGGATTTACAGTTATGATCAAGAAACAAAGCAAAAATCATTACACTGGAAGATCCCACAATCACCAAGAGCAAAAAAGGCATGGCAGGTCCAGAGTTCAACAAAGAGCAAGCTCATCATTTCTTTCAACATTAAGGGGATTGTTCACTGAGAATTTGTTCCTCCTAACACTACGGTCAACTCTGACCTTTACTCGTACTGACATTTTGAGACGCTTGAAAGAAAATGCGTGACAAAAAAGACCAGAGCTTTGACGCAACCACAACTGGCTCCTTCATCATGACAATGTTCCCGCCCACACGTCTGTGAAAACCACAGTGAGTTTGTGACTAATAACAATATGATTATCCTTCCCCATCCTCCTTACTTGCCAGACTCTGATTTCACTTTGCTTCCCAAATTGAACATGAAATGAAAGGATGATATTTTGAAACAATGTCTGAAATCCAAAGGGAATCACAAGCAATACTCAACAGCATTAAGGAAAATAACTTCCACGATGCTTTTGAAGTATGGAAAAAATGATGGAATCACTGTATTCATTACCAACAAGACTATTTTGAAGGAGATGGAAGCCAGAAGTGAGTAAGTTAAGCCAGCATCTCTTTTTTTGGCCTTGTCCGGGAACTTTCTGATACAACTTATATTATAAAATGAAAAACTTTGCAATTGATATACTTTTTACAATAGATAATTATTATGAGCTGGACATATACAACAGATGTGGGAATGAATGAATGAATTAATTAATTAATGAGTATTCAGATGGCCTGTACACAATGACCATCAGTGATCTACTGTGTGCCCCCTTCCAATTAGCCCCCCACCCCACCCCAAAATTAGCATATTACTTCAATGAGCATGTAACTAGTCATCTGATTTCATCAAGCAACATCTCAGATGAGATGTAAGCACCATTCATAGATGGGCCTGTAACGTGGGAGGCAAAGGCATATACATATACTGAATTTTGGTAAAGACACTTGGAAAATGACCATTTAGAGGGCTGAGACTGGAATACATTTCAAAAGGATCTTAGGGAATTACTGATGATAATGGCTTCAACGTCAATGATATTCAAGTCTGCAAACAAACATGGCATAAGGAATCTTATTTTCAAGAAGTTAATTACCAAGATATCACACTTCAATTTCTATGATTTAAAGTATACTTCTAACACACAGGTTTAAATTCCAACAAGGTCTTACCCAATTTAGTAACGTTTTACCAACACTTTTAGTGATACCAGCTGAATCTCGGAGGCCAGTGAGACTATCACGTAAGGAACGATGAACTCTGAGTAAATCATCTATTTCTCCAAAAACACATTGTGCTTCCTCTTCTGAAAGAAGATGAAGCTGCACCAAGGAGCTCTGGTATTTATCCTGCATAAACTCAAGGTCTTCTACCATTCCATCTTCACCACTCCAGAGCTCATATATTGCCTATAAGAAACACTATTCCAAATTAGTGGAAACTGAAGTACACAAGGCCTTACAATGAACTGATGGTTTTCTGAGGCAAATGATAATACTGGTGAGTTGGTGCATGTTAGATATTGTGACTACTTGATTTGGCAGTTTTTTATTTGATATAGTAAGTGTTTTAGTGATGCAGTGTTTTGTTTGTTTGATAAAATAGAATGGGAAAGAAATTTTCCTTTAGTTTTCAACAGAACTGTTGGAATAATCTAACCTACCTGAAGAGAATAGTACTCAGTGAGACTTCAGGCATGATACAGAAATAAAACACCAAAGTCTTCAATGGAGAATTTGGAAGTTTCTGAGACCTCAAAACATATCAATTATGTTACAACATTTGCAATTCAGTGGCATACAATACCTCTTGACGTTTAACTTCCTGCAAACCAAGCTCCCTGGTATTATTTTGTGCAATGGCCTGACTCCAACAACGTGTCAGACGCTGGTTGGCACACAGAGGTGTTGCCAACTGCTGAGAGTTGTTGGCAGGAGTCCTCAATATGCTACACGAGCGCTGAAGAAAATTACGAGGTGATGATGACACAGGTGAAGAAGAAGTGGATGGAATGTCCACTCGACCTCCAGTGAAAGAACGCTGCAAATATTTTTAACACAATTGCATATTAAAAGTTTGTGATGAAAACACAGCATCCATTATATCATTACATGTGGTTTGGATTGGTAATCGAATTTACTGGACTCTTAAAAACCACAACTACAATTAATTTTAGCTGTTTCACTAATTCATGCACTTCACAATTCACTATGGCACCCATTAAGTCTTCTGTGTCTTCACTGGATCCCATAACGGCCCAGATTCTTCAGCTTCAATGCTCAACAGGTTCTGTCCTTGCAGGCTGGCAACACTATCACATCTAAACCAAGTTGGTAACTCTCGCACATCCTTGACCGACAAAAAGCCCTACTTGATTCTCCTCACATAACCTCTGCATGGACCCAGTAGAGAACACAGCTTCAAACAGCTCCTCTATTGTGTCATATGTATTTGTTGCTGTGGTCATGTGATTTAGTTGCCGTGGAAAAGTTTTTACAGAGCCGTTACCTCTGGTTCTGCTATTCCAGCTTTCAGCAGACATGTCACAATATATACAGATTTGGTGAACTAACATGGGTGCAAGCAATTTATATGGGAAGTCTGGTAAATGAGAGACTTATTTACATTTCACTGCTTACTCTTTCATTACATTATTTATCAATTTGAATGCCTCAACTACTTATCTAGGTAAAAGTGTACTCTGATATTTTGCATAATTCACTGGCCTTGACATTCAGCTGTTGCAAGTACAAATCTACTGTTGCAAATCTAATCACATTGGAATTTCTCTTTCTCTCTCTCTCACACACACCCACACAAACATGCATACATACGCATACATATGTTTATTTATATATACTATGGGCTCAGTTCTACTCTAAATCCAATCCTAACACCATAACAACCAATACTGAAAAATACAAAATACAGGTTTCAATACATTCTTCTAAATAAGCGATCTTTCTTATGTAAATGACAACTGACAACACAGAGCCTACTGCTGGTGGATCAATCTAGTGGCAGAATTAATATTACTATTACTTGGCTAAGCTAACTTTTCAGCCAGTCTGAGGAAGTATTAGTTCCAGTAATGCAACAGCTGACTACAGGGAAGAGAGAGAAATTGTTCCATGTTTTTGGTACAGCAGACTAACAAGGCTGACTTTCATAGGTTCATGTTCTTCACTGTCACGTATGAAAGGAAGGAAAATTCTGCAGTATAATATATCTGAGAGAAATATTCTACAGAATATACATGGGTGGAAAACCCTATAGCATGGCAAACTTGGAAGAAAATTCTACAGCATGGCAAACCTAGGTGAACAAATTTTACATCAAGACAACCTAGAAGGAAGTTTCTGCAACATGACAAACCTGAAGAGAGGCACCAATTTTTCTCACAGGCCGCATTGGCGTGGACAAGAGGTTAGCTAGGGAAACCACTTTTGATAACCCTCGTTTCCTCTTGTTCTCTGGCTCAGGACCCAAAGGCATGTCCAATGAACACACACTGACAGCATCACTATTTCTTCTTTTACGTTTTCTCTGTAACAATGCAGTAAATTACTTTCAGATTTCAAAATAATCAAGTGGTACTGAACTCATTGTAGTCAAATGTTGCAATGAAAGAAATGTAGCAACCTGTGACTGAATTCCTTTTCACCAGGGTTCACAATCTTCTGCACACACACACAAGACAAAAACCAATGCCACATGTTTCTGTGGTCAGTAAATTGAGTGACCCACTTTGATGGGGTGAATAAAATGAATGAAAAACCACCACATAAAGCAAATGAATTGTGATGGCAAATATTTGAATCTTCTTTCCAGTAAGTAACACCATAATTATGAGTACTGCCATGATATGGCAGTTCTATTGTTCCTCAAAATAACATTTCAAAATTAAATTCAATTACAGTTCTACCAAATTACTTTAGATTCCACATGATCCACCACTTTAAGAGGTTCTGCTAATAATATATGCAGTTGTAACTTAAAATGTTTCAGTCATTAAAGTGACACGCGCACATACTCTCTCTCTCTCTCTCTCTCTCTCTCTCTATATATATATAGTAAAAAAGACTAAAGTTATCCCTGTAACAGGACGTGGAGGCCCATAGAGTTGTGAGACACTGAAGTTCCCACATTTTCTAGACAATCGGCTCATAGATGGCAGCAAGGTTGTCAGCCTTACGTGCCAGCCACCCTTTACCCCCAAGAACATTCCAAGAATATTCCTGGTACTCATTTCTGTTTGAGGCTGTGTCGAACCCAGGGCCATAGTGTGGCTGGAAGGATTAGGTAAACTTAAAGAAATCCAATGACTTAATCGGGATTCAATCCCGTGACCTTCCGGCTTGTAACATAGTGCCTCAACCAACTACGCTACCACATGCCCCGCTCTATATATGGCTCTACAGCTCTATGGACCTGGCCACTTTTTCACTTCCTTAATCCTAACATAGTTGGCAGGACTCCTTGGACAGGGGATCAGCCCATCACAAAGCAATTATAAGAGAACATTGCATTTCTGTAGCTGCTTTTTGTCAGAAACTAATCTGAGACAGATTTTTTAAGTACTCCTTCACAATTAGAATACTGGTGTGTGGCATACCATTAATGCTGTATGAACAGTAGGACCCACACTTACTGAACAGACTATTGATTCTGAACAGTACATAACTGACATTCTTTGGCCTCTATCGAGAGCATTATGGAAGGCAAAATCTTTGTATCTTGTTCTCTTTAGCTGATAGCAAAGAATAAAAAAGTCACTATACAACAGACTTTTGCAACCAGAGGCCACAACTGCTTGCCCTGGATAGGGATTTTGCCCAGAACAAAAAAGCCAAAAGAAAGAACAATACTGAGATGACGGCGCTGGCTGTATTAATCTGGCAAAACTTGAACGATCCAATCATACTTCTGAAGTTGCTCAACTCAATCCTCAAACTGTGGAGGATTAGAAAAGACATTTTTCCCAGTATTTTAAAAACAACCCAACTAATAGTAGGAAGATAAAGTTACTCATCAACATGCTAAAATGTAAATGTTCAATATGCAATCAATAGGAGTTTATATCTCCAAATCATCCAACTCTGCAGTGCAGAAAAAGCTTAAAAATATCCAAGGGTGATGTGAGGTTTTCTATCCCTCTTGCTTACAACAGCCTCAGTCTAAAGGCTCCAAAGTCAGCAGAAAGTAATGAAGATGGTGAAGCATGTGCCCAAAGCTTCCTAAAGAACATGTAGCAGGCAAGGTGTTGAAATTTATGTAGCAGAAAATAGCATAAGGGAAGATTTCAATGTATTGGAATGATTCATTTGGGGGGCTTAACAAAGACAGACCGAAATAAATAATAACTTACTCATAACAAATTATTTTCTGTTCTTTTTGTATTTTCCTCAATTTATAAATTATCTTTATGGAGCAGTATTTGCCAAGTTCTATTAATTTAATGGAATCAGTTCTGAAGACACCAGTTTTCTAGATTTTTTTGGTGGGTGACTGATGAGGTCTTTATAAAAATGAAACTGTTAACAAGGAATTCATATTGTGATCTTCCAGGTTATTACACTGATACCTTAAAGATGGAGACAGCATGTTCCATTGAAACACTGTTTCCCACCTACCTGATTATACAGTGTCAAGATCATAACATGAATCTCCACTGCTGTGAAAATATGAAATGCCAAGCTTATTACCAAGGAATTGTCTACAACCAAGCCCTTCATTCATAAGATGCATATAAGCACAGCTATAATTTATATTTACCCCCGCAAAATTATATTTTACTATCTCTAGAAAAGCTGGTTTTCATGAACTTGGATCACCGAAGGTGAATGAACACAGCTACGTCACAAAGTTCATAGCTCAGTAATGACTACTGAAGGCTTTATATCCAGGAACAAGTGCATAAGATCCTATTTATACTCTCTCAGTCCAGTGTTCTTCAATGAAATGTGATGTAACAGGGTAAACTGTATTTCACTCACCAACCAAAATCCTTTCTGTGGCTCCACAAAAAAGTCTTTCACAGACATGTGATCATCATCCATTGTACTTCCTATAAAAATAAATTAATTAGTGTTTGGGGAGTTATGTGCCAAAACACAGCTGCCAAGTAAGGTGTGTAATATTAAAATATTTCAGGAATTTATGGGTGTAATTGCACTGCTTCTTAGTTAAAATTAATGATGTAATTCACCACCTCTTTCACATGGGATTAAAATAGGAAACAGAAGGATGATTATGAATATGTTGGTTGTTGTAAATGGTTGTAAAATACTGTGTCAAAGAGGAAAAGCAAGAAACACTTCTATTAGATAGCTGGCCCATCAGCCAAATTATGAAATACAAAGAAGTGCTAACCCTTATCAAGGGTAAATATCATTTCAAGCATGTCTTTTAACACAGAAGACTCTCTCTTCTTGATTTTAAAAAATAAAAGAATCATCTACTTTTACTTACCTTCTTAATCTGAAACATTTCCCAGTAAACAACACTAGTTATATTCATTCATTCATCAGTAATCTGTCAGACGACAGGTCCACAGTCTCTTCCAAAACAGTTCCTCCACTTAATGTGATCTAGAGCTTTCTCCTTCAAATGAAAATATCCTCTTCTGTCCCCAAGGTCATCCAGCATCTTCTTACGTCTTCTGGTCACTTCTATCCGCCCCTCTATCTTTCCTTCAATAACTTCTTTTAGAAGGCAGTTACTGCGTAAAATATGACCAATCCAATTATCTTTCCATTTCCTTATTTCGTGTAGGATATTCCTTGCTCACTGACTCTAAATAACACTTCTTCATTTCTCACATAATCGGTCCAACTGATCTTCTCCATCCTTCTTGAACACCACATTTCGAAGCTTTCCAGGTGTTTCTGATCTGTTGCCCTAAGTGTCCAAGTTTCAGCCCCATACAAAGCCATGCTCCAAATGTAGCATTTCACTAGTTTCTTTCTCAAATTTAAGTCCAATTTGCTGGTAAAAAGATTCTTCTTCTTGCTAAATGCAGCTTTTGCCATGGCAATCCTAGATTTATGTTTTAAAAATACTGATATCTGTAGAAAGAACTTGTGGGCACTTTATTTAGGGTATTAATTTGACTTTCTTTCAGATTAATCGCGTTCTGAATGGAATAGCTTCACTCACCTTTACTGTCATGTACGTAATCTTTTTATTGTACCAATTTTATGAAGAAATACTGGAGACAATAGAAACTACAGATAGAAAACCACAATTGCAAAGTGGCTTCTAGCTTTGCATGTTGGTTACCATCAGTAAAAAGAAAAATTTTATTAATTTGTCATATTAATCCATGGAGCAAAATTCTTCTTGTGAAGCTAATTGTTCCTTCGTTACTCAAGAAATGCCTGGCCTTTCATGGAACCCAGAGGTTCATTATCAAGCAAGAAGAGCCCATGACTGTTCTATATAATAAGCCAGATGAATTTATCTCCCACCTTGACTCTTTTAAGATTAAATTTAATGCTATTTTCTCATCTAAGCCTAGATCTTCCAAGTGATCCCTTTATGTTAGGTTCTCTTACAGAAATTTGTATACATTTTTCATCTTTCAAATTTTCAGTTTATGTGGACCATTGTGTTAATACATCTAATATGTATAACGAATTCCATTAAAATTATAAGGGTCACAAATGACTGGTAGAAGCAGTCGACCTTAACATTTCTATTGCTCATTTATGGGCACAAAGCTGTAGTGCACCAAAAGCAATACAAGATTCTTCCTAAATCTTGGCTAAGTTCCCAGCTTGCACAGTACAAGCAAGCCTCAACTTATCTTTGTTGGAGACCTACCTCTCTCTTCACAACCGCCCTATCGATAAGTGTGTGGTATGAAGACCTTATGTAAATAACACTACAGTTTTCAGATATCATTTTGCCAAAAATATTCTCATTCCCAGCATTGAAAATGGCCTGTATTACTATGCAATGGAACCTGTACAGCACATACTGTACAGCAGTGCCAAACAAACTTCATAAATATTAGAATTACTTACACTTAAAATAGCGGAAAATTGGAACCTGGTTATAGTCTGTATAATTTACATTATACACTTCTTATATGGTATACCATGGAAGACTTTAATCCCAAATTACCAATAACATGACCACATAACATCAAAATGACAAAACACCATCAATACCATCAATACTAAATATTTGAACTTGGTGCATAACCTATACCCGTCGCATTCGAAACACAGATAATTCACCAACTTTGAATTATCCGTTACAGGTACGGACTACACGACCACGGATTATAAGTGCCTGACGAAATACGTAAGATGGACTGTACCTGACAACGACCACCAAGATTGCATACAGAGCTAATCGGTATTTTCCCTATTAGAATAATTACTGTAGATTAAGTTAAAATCTGTCTTTCTCCACTGAAGTTCATACATTATATACATGCTAGTGCTTTCAATCTTACGTCTAAGCCATTCGAAGGTCTTTGGAAAGTTGTGGACTCTGTGTGGAGATATTGATGGCGCCGCATTTGAACAAATTAATTTTTGTGTTGAAGTGATTAGACAAATAATCTAAAATACAGGCTTTGGAAAATTATCAAGGTTTTGGTTAATATAATTTAAATAATTCTCGAAAACTAAACTGGACAGGTGTATACGCCGGTGAATGTGCAGTGACCTTCTGCAGATAACTAATCTGGCAACTTAATGTAACCGAATCAACCCAACCCAAATCAAGGCAATCTTCAGCTCGTGGTCCAGCGTGGATGGGCGGGATTGTGAGCAATGGTGTGTTGGGCAGACGTAACCAAAACTAACCTAACCCAGCACCTGCAAGTTTGTGACGAGAGTATATTAATACAATTTCTGGACATTATCCATCATCTTGTTTTTATTTAAAATACACATCGTTTCGGAGACTTGATCCTGTATCCGCCTTCAGGTGGAACCTACTCGGTTGGGCCCAATCGATAGAGCTGGTCCTCATTTCCGGACAGCAGCACTAACAGACCAACTGATGTAACGAACTTGAGGAATGTAACAGTAGCTACAGAGGTGGGAACTAATGACACAGGTGCATTGTGGAGAGAAGGAATATCGACATACATCCCTGAGAGATTTTCACATCGGCTGAGATGTTGATGACCTGGCACTAGATTACTCATTAATCCTGTGTTTTGAAGGGGGGTAAAGGGGTGATAAAAATGGTATAATTAATTTTTTGCTTCAAGGTGGCTTTTTCACCTTTGAGATTGGCAACCTCCATGTATAATTTAGTGACCACGTCCACAAAGGGCTCAACCATTAGTACGGCAGACTGTCCATTGGACCGTACCGTTTGACTTTTGACACTGAGGGAGAATTTATTACACAGTGATGGAATATTAAGCTCTTTCTCTGAGGATATACCTTTCTTACATACATCTGAGGTGGAAGAAGATCTTGAGGCATTACATGAGTCTCTTCATTCCTACTGGTTCTTAAATTCTTCATACTTGTACGACGTTTTTCCAGTGACAAAATAAGCAGCCTGCACGGCCTCACTGATGCGCAAACATGCACTATGAAATCTAATATCACAGACATAACATCTAGTGAATCTCCCACATAAAAGGGCTTGTCAGATTTCTGCTCACTGCCCTGAATGGTCAACAGAAAAACACACGCTCTCCAGAGTTGCACTAGCCACCAGGCAGAAGCACAAACAAAGCACGTCCTCTCACTTGTCTGAAAACAAACGCAATTGGCAAAATCAGGGTCTTATGACATTATCGTGACTGATGTTTTTTGTTGTCCTCAGTTCCTCCAAGTGAATGCCACGATTGTACCTTGATTAGGTCACGACCTTTTACCTCCAAATACATTTCAATTAATTATTCACTAATAACTACCTGAATATCTTAATTTAATTGCAGTGTGGCATACCAGTAACAGTAATTCCTAGCGAATTACCTTTTCTTGAGAAATATGCAGTTAAATATAAGTGTTTCTGACGATGATGTGCGAATATTAGGGTGACAGCTATTTTGTACATTACCTTAAATGTTTTTGTTTTGGAAAGCAGCCGCTAGGAAATTGGACCAGTTTCCGTTATTAGGTGTAAAGAAGGGAAGTTGCATATTCATTTCTGCCTGTTATATAAAGCCCGTCTTGATCCTTACAGCCTAAGGTCCAGTTTCCGAAACACTGTGCTAGAAAAGAACTGAGGACATTGTACGATGTTCAAAATAACAGTGACCATTACAAACAAGTAGACTTATCGTCATCTGTGTGCTTGTGTTTCTGTGCGCGAGTCTTCATATCCCTCCATGTGGCCTTTTGAACATTTGAGGATATTTAGAACATGTTGAAAATATGTTTTTCCATCTATTTACAAAATGACAGTATTTATATACGCTTAATGCACAACGCAACGTTGGCAACCCCGTGTGGACGGGGGGTCGAATGCCTACACCGTGACACTGCGAGTCGTAGGAGGCGACGAAAAGGGAAGTCTCAGATCTGACACACTAAAATATTGTAGCGAGTCCCACGGAACTCAGACCCAAAAAATGCTGTTGTGGCAAGGGCCAGCAGACCCTTCCTCTCGTCAGAGAGGGCTCCCCACAAAAACAAAACCGTAACTTCATATGTTTACTGCAGTCGTGTTAGTTCTTCATTGACTCTGGGCGTGGGTGTTGCAATTCTTGATTTAGAATGTTTTCTTACGCTAAATCTGTATAAATATCAGAAGTACATATTCATATGTAAGCAATTCTGCTACTGAATTCATAATATCTTTGTATAAATTCCGCAGACAGGGAACGCTCTCAGGAAGTAAGCAGGTATGTAGAGTGTCCAGTACTTGCAGGAACATGCACAAGAACGAACAGTCCTTAGAACACATGGTCATTAAGATAAATATCTTGCTGTGATTAATTACACGTAAAGTAAAGTAAAGCTATCCCTGTAACAGGCCGCGAAGGCCCATAGAGTTGTGAAACGTTGAGGATCTCACATTATCTAGACAAACGGCTCAAAGATGGGTAAGGTTGTCAGCCTTACGTGCCGGCGGCGCTTTACTCCCAAGAATATTCCTGGTACTCATTTCTGTTAGAGGCTGAGTGAACCCCAGGGCCATAGTGCGGCTGGAAGGATTAGGTCAATTGAAAATAATCCAATGACCTCATCGGGACTTTAACCCGCGACCTTCCGGCTTGTAGCATAATGCCTCAACCAACTACAATACCGCAGACTTCTTAATTAATAAGAAGGTACCATATATATTCACATGCAATCTTCTGCATTAAAAGCCTTCTTATAGCAAAGGCATTATTCTTATACTGGACACGTGTTTGAACTTCCCTAAGATCTGAAACCTCGATCCAATCATGTACGGTACGCTGTCATTCGTCTTGTAGGCTGCACACAGCTGTGTGTTTAATGTACCAAAAAGAGGTTCCCAAATCCAGTGACAGATTAGAATGCTATGCCCTCCAAACAATGTCATTTTTTTTTTCATTGGCACTACAGCCCCAGTGGGCCTAGGCCTACCTCCATGAACTTCCTCGTTCACTGTGGAAACAATGTCATTAGTAAACTCTATTTCCACATGTCCGCTTAACTGGCTGGTCAAGAAGTGTAGAGGCCTTCATTTCTACGGGGGGATGATAGTTTAGAATCTTGACCGCGACAACGGTTATCTTGATTAAGGGTTTCGTAGATTTACTGTTCCTGCAAGCAAACCCTGGAATAGTATCTTCAATAGGCCACCCCAATTTCATAATATCTTTGCCAATTTATAATTCCTCGACACAGTGACAATATCGTAAAGTAAACCAGAAAAGAAATCCCTCGCCATTTCTGTACATAAAGTCTGCTGAACATGCATGTTGGTTGAGGAACATTCCGGAACTATGTATAATGTTAACATTTATGATGAAGACGATGATACAACGTAATAAAAGCAATAATGATACATTTGAAGACGTGTCTGTTTATTTTCCTGAACCTTCGACTGGGACTCTATTATGAATCGTACGGGTGGGTTCATTACTCTACGTTTAAAATAAAAATTAGGATGATGGACAGTGTCCTAAAATACGATCGTCGCGAGCTTTCAGATCTTACCATTTTTTTTTCCGAGTATTTTCAGAACGCTCTGTAGGTCACTTGAACAAACGTGGTGCCACAGGCTCAGGATAACTAGCGTTAACGGTGCAAGATACAGCAAGAGGGCACAGAGGACAGGATGTTAGACAATACCTCCACGCCCTCTGACGTGTAAGTAGGGATATACTTTGAAAGCAGGAGAGCCACAACGACTGGAGCTGATCAGTAATCCTTGCTAAGGTTTGGAGTCATACCTCCACGACCCCGAGTAACAGGCATGGTAGCAAGAGGGCTATAGCGTGAAGCTGATATGCCCGACAGACAGTAGGAACCTAGTCGTTTCTGTGACACCATACGACCTTGATCATGTGATGGGAGCGTTGGAGGGTGTGGAGGTCATTCGGTCTGGACCGTACTGTGAACGTCACTTTGAATGAGGGCATGAAATATTCTATAGAGGCTGCAGTACTCGTCTCGATCCCAGGGTACCGGTTCAGTTGAGGCTGGGAATGTGCATACGTATTACGTTGCAGCATCCATGGTCTCATCAGTGTTAAGTGTGGCTGGCAGTTCTTACGGAGTTCTGAAACACGTGAGTAAACAACAAAGAACAGCAAGACGAGTTCATTTCAGATCAGCGCGACTGCAATGACTCTCATTAGGAGGGAAGCTGATTTCAAGCACATTATGTTGATTCCACCCTCGCTGCTCAACAGCAAAGTCTGGGCAGAATAAAAAAGACTGCTTCATTTTGTTTGTATATAGGAGGCACAATTTGCATTACCCGAAACTCCCAGCATGCCTAAGGAACCCAGATTTTCGTAACGAGAAGGCGGAACAGTATTCTCGATCGATAACGGAGAGCAGGAAGAGAGGGAGAGACAAACAGAGACAGAGAGAGAGGGACAGAGAAAGCAATTTATTTATACTAATGAAATAACAGCTAAGCCGTTAATACCTGATTCCAGCCTTTCTGAGGTTGAAATTGCTATTGCAAATTGAAAAGGTATAAATCGCCAGGCAGTGATCCAATTCCGTGAGAACTTCAAGCAGGAGGTGAAATATTACGTTATAAGATCCATAAGCGTGAACGGAGAAGTTCATGGAGGTAGGCCTAGGCCCACTGGGGCTGTAGTGCCAAGGAAAAAAAAAAGATCTGTAAGCAGATTAATTTTATTTGGCATAAGAA